CTGGTGTGCTGTCATTTTCAAGAAAAGTGGTGTTGTTGTATCAATTTCTAACGTTGCTCGGCCGACCAGCGTTGGAAAAAAAACTTCTTTTTTTCCCGAATACTGCCCTCATTTTACCATATTTAGTTAGTCCGTATTTTGTTTGGAATCGATTACACACCTTTGAACGGTTATAAGCCAGCTAGACTAGTTCCCTGACCTTACAATTCCCCAACGTCTATAAATTGCTCTGTTTCATCTTATAAGCGGGGTTAGGAAACCAGACTACAGGACCATGATTGTTTTTCTTGGTTTTCCCAACATCTACGAACACAAAACTTCAAACATGTCAGTGTACAACTATAGTTACTATATAAACCCCCAAACCCATCCATTTCTGAAAATTATGGCAAAAGCAAATGTTGTACACATGTATTCCCTTTACTTTGGTGAGTTCTGTTGAGTGACACTTTCAAAATTGGTCTTCAAATTCGAATCAAAGATAAAAATTCAAACAAAAAGTGATCGATAAAAAAAAAACATGAATATTAAAATCAGCCCCAAACTTCAGCAGCAGTAAAAGTGGCGTCATCACAACAATTTCCAGTAATGACGCTTACCGAGCTTATATCCTACCGGTAAGTGTGTATCCCACCGCGCTAATTATTTGATTGATGGAGGGTGCTTGAACACATTGTGAAACATGAACACGCACATGTCGCCAAACCCTCCAGTTATTTTTCACGCTGTGTGCCAGCATGTGTTCAGCAGGATAAATACCTACTTCAGGTCCTGCATTGTGCCTCTCATACTGGCTATTTATTTTTTGATTGACTATCGTTAAAAGACAGAAGAAAAACAATTTAAACCACTTGATGGTTTGCGAACACTAATTTTAATCTGACAAGGGGTTCTTAACCTATTTCTGCATTCGGAAATTCCGGGGAGGACGAGCTTCAATTTGTGGACCAAACCAAGAAAATGAGCTATTGTTGAGTACAGGAACAGGAACAGTAGCCCAAGTAGGGGGAGACACCGCATGCGCCTACTAGTTCGCACACATGTGGTGTGAAGTGCGCAGGATTTTATTCTGAGTGTGTATAAACCACATAGCATCTTCGCGTGAGCGTCAAGCAGCGGCGTAGCCAGGGTTCTCATTCTATGGGGGCGTGTGTGTGTGTGGGGGGGGGGGGACTTCAGGTTTCAATGGAGGGGCGCCCAAAAATTTCAGCCGTGCTGAAAGGTAGACAGGTTTTTTTCACAGAACACCGGCCCTCCGTAAAATCTGGACACCATCTTCCCATGGGGGCACTGTTCAAGACGTATATCGTGAATACATTAGACAATAACTACCATTATTCGCTTTCCTATTGACGTTACAAAAAACAGCCACTCAAGGGGGGAAAAAAAACAGTTATGGCAAATCATATGCACAAAAACGCGGAAAAAAGGGACTTTTTGATCTTTCAGCTAATCATGGTACCGGTAAATCGTATGGCTGTGTTTTTCTCCAGATGCCAAATTTTCAATGGGGGGCGACAAGCCAGAACGGTAATGTGTTTGAAAGTCCCACCAAGCAGCCACCTCCCAACTGTCTCTCTGTAACTGTTGAGGGGGTACTTGTGCAAGGAGTCCGTCCAAAGGCTTCCTAAGAAATCTAGCGCGTTGGACTTCAATCGGAACAGACATTTTCACCCTACATCAAAATGTCAAAATGAATGATACATGCACAATGTACACGGGCAGAGCACGCGCTTGTCACTGCAAATAAATGTAAGGAAAAAAGTCTCATCCTATAAATTTGGAAGACAAAATGTCTCATCGTATGGGATTCTGTCATGTATACATGTATGTATTTCTGGTGGATTTTACCTAGGTAACTAAGTACTGGTCACTTTGGTTAAGTGGTAAAGTGCGGCGTACCGGTACTTGAAAATAACTGTAAAGTACTAAAACACCACCACATTGAAAGCTTCAGATATTGCATCAATCGATCAGTTTTCCAAGAACCCTTAGCGACGTACCACTTCATCATCGTACCCATTGTGAGTCAATTTGATCGTCCAAGGCTATGCACAGACCTCAGATTAAAGGAAAACTGTTCACGGAAGTCGTTAGTCTCTAATACATCTCGTGATAAGCTCACCTGGCTCAGCGATCTGATGGCCGTGCATTTGCTTGTGGGAATCACGTGTGGGACGTGACCCAACGGCACTGGAACTAATGACGTGTTTTCTTTTATTATATTTTCTCAAAACTGAACGATTGATGTGACACCCATAATTTCTGTTCAGAGAATATTAGCACTAATGCAATTTTTATAAAGAGGCCTACAAGTACCGGTACATGTACATGTATACGTGTAAGAAAGAAAATGAGATTCTGGTTTTTTTTCAATAGTACTTTTTTAGAAAATTAAATTTGTACAGTGTTTATACCCGTAGATTTCTTTTTTTAAGTCACAATGATGAGCAGTTACTTCTTGGAAAATTGATCGTAAGACAAAATCATCAACTTTTTTTTGCACTATAAATAACCTGTTTTACAAATTAATTTCTACAGTGCTACATGTAAATTTACTTTACATGCAATTAGGAGCAGTTCTTCGAAATTTGATCGTGAGACACGACATCAAATCATTGACCTCTTTTACACTAATGCAGGCTCAGTCTTTTTTCTTTTTTATTAAGTTTCATTTGGGACAATTCTTTTTAGTAAAATTTAGCCCAAAGAGTAAAGTTAAAGATAGGGATTAAAATTAGTATTATAGTGGCACGTTAAATTAAAATGAACACAATGTGCCAAAAAAGATTGTTAGCCGTAGCAGTAATTTGCACTTTTGACATCAAATATTCGGAATAATTGTACATAAAATGTGGAGCCAAAAGGGATACTTTTGTAGGCAAATGTTTGCAGCTACGCGATTTCGCGCACCGATCTGACGAATAACAGTTACCGCGCGCGCGTGTGCATCATGTGCCTCACACCAACACTTGTGTGCGCTTCGCCGAATTAAAAAAACGAACAAATAACGGAAATTTCCAACGGTGCGGCTTTAGACGCATCGTTAGAAAGGCCTTCTTTCGTTGATTTCTTCAAAATGACTGCATGCCAGACAGAATAATTTCACAGGGAGTTTAGTCCCCATACTATCTTTCAACCAGTATGTTTTCAATTACTTTTTGGATAGCTGCAAATGATGGACTGCAGCTTTTACCTTTAATACACGGGCCCATACATACATGTTTGCAATTGCATTGTGCGTGCTGTCGATAATTTCCCATTGTCTTCACTATCTGATTGAATAGACAGTGTCTTTAATAACGCGTCACTGAGTCTATACTGCAGTGTTGTAATAGCACAAGACATATCGGGGGAGGAGGCATTAGAAGCTAAAATGTCAAGGAAAAAGGGCTCGCCAAGGGACTTGTATCGGCATTAGAAGAGTCAATCAATGAAGCAATTACTCAGCTTGGCTATGCGTGCATATGTACACTGTGATGTGTGGACAGGCGTGTGTATTTGCATTGTATATGCACTTTCATACTTTTTTGAATATCTTTGCAAAGCACAATACAGGGTAATATAATTTTGATAGGCAGGGTTGAGTTACATGTACATGTGCATTGTAACTATAAAATGGGAGGTTTTTATTTTTGTATTTTTTAATTAAATTTTTAAACCTTAAATTTTAGAAACTCTCCTAGAAATTAGGACATGTCTACCAGAGATATTGACATACATACATTTCGTAATTAATTAATTATGTGTACATGTACATGAAAGTACATACTTTGGCATCTTACTTCAGAAAAAAATTGAATTGGCGTTTTGAAAACTTTATACAAATGTCTCAAAGTGCTGTGGCACAAAAGTGCAGTAAAGATCTCCTGTGTTCAGGAGATATGGCTTGTTCATCAGGTCATATAGTTTTTATAGGCCAAAGGGGTTGAAAATTTGGTATGTGTCCAATGTACGCTGCACCATGCTATCACTTTTGTTGCAAGCTCACCGTTTTTTAATGGACCAGCATGCATTGTGTATCCGTGGGTGCAGCGAAAACGTGTACAATGCACCGGTACATGTAACATTAACTTTGGTAACGAAATTTGAGGAGATTACATTTGGTTTTCTCATCAGTATCGATGTATTCTGTGCGTGTTAATTGCACAGTACGAGAAGTAGTCACATTAAACTTATTTAGTTAACATAGATTGAGTAAGGTTTAAAACCATGCACTGTAATGTATATTTTTCTCAATAGAGGAATGGGTGGTTGGTCTTGTTGAATAAGGTTTAAAGATATAGTCCGTCATTTGTAATTTGTGCATTTTGTTCGTTTGAAGCAACAAAAGTGTTCAAAATCTAATGAAGGATACTGAACAACTAACCTGATGAAGTTTCAGTTAAGCTTCAGCTGTATATTCTGAGAAAAACAGCATTCTATGATCTCAATTTCAAATCAAAAGTTGCTGAATCATGTTTTGAATTGTTTTGAATTGCAGCTATACGCGATGTCGCGCACTGATCCGAAGAATTATAGCAACCGCGCGCGCCTGTGCGTCGTGCCAGTGCTTGCGCGCGCTGCGCCGAATAACAAAACGAACTACTAATTTAAATTTTCCTATGGTGCGTCTTAAGACGCACCTTTGGAAAGGCCTTCTTTCGTTGATTACTTCAAAATGATAGCTTGCCAGAAAGATTAATTTCACAGGGAGTTTAGTCCACTTACTATCTTTCAACCAAGTATGTTTTTTAACAATGATACGCCAGTTACTTTTTCGGATGGCTGCAAATGATGGACTATAGCTTTAAAGATCCAAATGTTTTGATTTCTAGTTTGTTGCCAGAAGACATATCCTGAAAGGGAGGAAGCCATTTGTAATCAGCATTGAAGTGAACGTCTTCTGATCGTTTGCGTCGCTGCTGCATTAAACAACAAGTAAATGCATTTTGACTTTTTCTCTTGTTGATTCTGTAATCTGTAATCGTTTTTCCCTGTGTTATTTTTCCACCCCGTAGGATACTGATTGTCTTGAGCTGACCAGCCTTCGCGATACAAGATACGGCAAATATGCAAATGTTCCCAAGGTAAGAACACACACTCAAGTTGAGTTTTCTATCTCAAGTTTTTCTTTGCTCCTTTTTTTAAGTGCGTGCTCACATGCGGTCTTGCAGTCTATAATTTCTTAAATTGGACATCTGAAATAACAACCTGTGCAGATGTGGCGGATGTATTAGTTCTTAATGCACAGTATCCATTTACAGAAAACCGTTGTCCATACAACAGTTGCTTTTTTTCCCAGTTGGTGATCCTGGGTGTTGCAGGATGTAGAAACGGTGGCCACAGAAATGCACAAATGAGATGGGTCAGTCTATATTTTGGTTCCAAGTGGTGACTTTTTTTCCTGTCACTGTTACTAATTAACTAATTTGCCAACTAATTCATTCAAGTGTCATTAATTTGCCATTCAAGTGTCATTAAAAATTACTTCAAATTATATTGTATTTGTTGAGTGTATAAAGGTCGTTCCCCCCCCCCCACATAATCACTCTTGGTGGAAGAATACAAGGAGTGTGCCAGAAACTCGTAGATGTCAGATGTAACAGAGATAGGACAAAAAAATGGACCCCACATTTTATAAAATGACCCAGATTTGAGAAGAACAGGAAGAAGTAAGTTTATTTCGTTGTCGTGATTCGTAACCGATACTCGTGAATTTCAATTAACAAAAATTTCAATAAATTAATTTGACTCACCCACCCACATTTTCGAACAAAAATCGAAATTTAAAAACATCGAAAATTTTGAATGGCCCCTTTAGGTCTGTACATAAACATCCTTGTTCTGTGCTGAAAATGTACATGTACATGTACACGGATATGTCATGTACATGTATTGATACAGGAACAAGTACAATGTATACATGTAGATATATGTCTTGCATATATGCACATGTACAATGTATGTCGGGCAGTCTGCCAAGAACTCTTCAATTGAGTATTTCTACAGTGTGTTTGGTGAGAAACCCCTTGAGAGAAGCACAGTATCAATTGGAGTGTTTGGGGAGGTATCCAATTTTTCCCTAAATTGGAAACTGTGAATGTACACGTCCAACTTCTGCATGGAAATTACTTGTGTATTTTGTAAATTTATGTCAGAAATGGAGCAGGCTTTTTGAAGACAAAAAAAAGACCCATTACAAAATATGTACAAGATGTCCCAAGATTCCACCGTGCTTTGAAAGGTGTGGAGAACAACTCTTTGCATGACCGGCACACTCTCGCAAAAAGTGGTTCAGCCAGCTTTCTATACAAAAACCTCATTGGCTCGGGGTTTTGTGCGTAAACCATATCAGTCAGCCGATTACGCTCAATTGACTTTGGCCAAACCGCAAGTCCCATCATAAAGAATATGTTAACGGGACCATTTTTTCCAAGAGTGTGTCTCTAATGGGCTTTTAAAAAGAACTTTTGCAAATGGGAAAGACACTTTGGAAACATCCAATCAGTTTGGATATTATGCTTCATGAATTTCTGAATAAACGAGCACATTTTTAAACAGTATTTAATTACTATTATTTTTCGGTGTGGTAGTGGTGGGGGGGGGGGATGGCTAGACAGAAGATATATCAGAATGGTGCAATAAGACCGACGGCGGGCGCAATAATTTTGATTAGGGTTTCAAAAAAATTTTCGCGAGTCGTTTGCATAAAAAGTGACCCCACAATATTTTGTAAAAAACGAGACCGTCTAGTTTAAAAATCGGTGGAATCGTGCGAATATAGCCGAGGATCATCTCCCTAGCTTTTGGGCTATTATCTAAGAGCAGATTTGATAAAATTAGGGTCCAAAAATGGGTCATATTTGCACGAAAAAATGTAGGGATGCCATTGGTAAATTTGGCAGTATGCAGGCTCAGCATTACCGGCACACTCTCGCAAAAAGTGGTTCGGCCAGCTTTCTATACAAAAACCTCATTGGCTCGGGGTTTTGTGCGTAAACCTTATCAGTCAGCCGATCACGCTCAATTGACTTCGGCCAAACCGCAAGTCCCATCATAAAGAATAAGTTAACGGGACCATTTTTTCCAAGAGTGTGTCTCTAATGGTTACCATTGTTCAGTAAAAAGATTCTAACTTAATTTATTCGTGATTACCAACATGTGTTGGTCTTAAGGCAGATGCGTGTCTCGGTCTCGGCTAAATTTTCTTATTTTTCGAGATCTAATTGAGGTAACTGAGGAATATAGTGACAATTGTCCTAATACATGATGTACTGTAGTGTTTGATTGTTCTATCACAGTCTGGTTTCGGCCTCAGATTCTAAAACCAGCTTTTTGTAGTTGCTGACTGTGTCATGTACTTATAGTTCAGATCTTGTGTGTCCATTTGGATGTACCATTATCAGCTTTCAACACAAACAGCACCAACAGTCCCCCCCCCTCCACCATAGCAAAAAAAGGTCTATTGTCTCCAGGGGAAATGAAGATCATAAATTTACAAGTGTCAATTTTGCCATGATATCCACTATTTCCTGTAAAATCCCTGTCCCACACCAGCAGCAGAAAGGAAGGAAATTACGGGTCCCATTCAGCTGGCTGCCACATTTGATCACTTCGTGGACCATAACACCGTTCTGGCCATTTCCCTGTCTGTTTGTGGTAGTTGCTGTTAATACACATGCACAGTCCAACCCTCTTTCTTGTATCCTAGGTTCGTTGAAAGCCTGACACTAATGCAACATCCACATCAGAGTAGATGCTGCAGGGATAATCCCCGTCCATAATTCAGTTGGCCTTGATACAGGAGGAAACCCGCAACTTAACTGTACGAGCTTTGCGCCAACTTGGACCAAACTCCACACAGCTCACTATGAATCGAAAAAAATATATGCCCTTCTGTATTAAATATCTTCTTGTTGGGGATAAAATTCCCCAAATTCAAGATAAGGGGAGAATAATTTTTAAAAGTCGCAAATAAGTGGCGGTAAAATACAAATTGCATGTTTGCTTAAGGACTACAGAAGCCAGTTTCCAAAAGAGTACGGAATTTTTAACCAGTTCACGCCGGGATTATTTTGACAAAAACGAAACTACTTGTAGGCACGGGATTACTTTTCACTCGACCTCAAGCCCGGTGTCGTGCCAAAAACCGTCCGGTGCCAAATAGTGTCCGCTGAGCATGCGCAGTAGGCGCCAGACACTATTTGGCATGTAATACATGCCAAATATAGTGTCCGGTGCCAAATACTAGTGTCCGGTGTCACGGTCTCACTTCTCCGGCGTGCTAGCTTCTCCGTGTGGATTCGGCGGACATTCGATCGAGCGAGAACAGGGGCGCAGTATTAAGCTGGAAAAATCGGACAGTATTTTGCAGGAAAAATCGGACAGTATTTTCCAAGGGGGAATCAGACAATATTTGGCAGGGCGGGGAATCGGACAGTATTTGTTGGCAGGAAAAATCGGACAATATTCAGTGGCGGGGGAATCGGACAATATTTGGCAGGGGGAATCTGACAGTATTTAGCAGGAAAAAATCAGACATTGTTTTGGCAGGGAAATCGGACACTATTTGGCAGGGGGAATCGGACACTGTTTAGCAGGAAAAATCGGACAGTATTTGGCAGGAAAAATCGGACAGTATTTGGCAGGAAAAATTGGACAGTATTTGGCAGGGGGGAATCGGACATTATTTGGCAGGAAGAATCGGACAGTTTGGCAGGAAAAATCGGACAATATTTGGCAGAAAAAATTGGACCGTATTAGGTGGGAGAAACCGTAAAATATAACGTTGGTTATAATGCTACACACAGCACAGTACTACTACACACACTTCACTAGGCGTTAGGCCTACGTATGTACTGCTCGCCAAACAGGTGAACTGACGCGAAAAAAACACACAAACATTTTGCACAAATAATGTTAAACTATTAGGGAAACCAAGTCAAATAGTTATCACAGATAACAAGGAAAACGTTAACAGATTGTAAAAAGCAAATTCAGGTGAAAAGAGATCTTTTCTACACGATGTATTGACAGCTCGACAAGGCACGAAATAGGATGCCCAAGTGCGGACACTATTTGGCAATTGGCAAGCGTCCGTAAACAATGTGACGTCATAGACGCATGACCAATCAGATCGCATTATGCCCATTAGCGGACACTATTTGGCACCGGACGGTTTTTGGCACGACACCGGCGGGTTGAAGCCATCCCCCTCGGGCAGCGCACTCACACACTCATGCACGTTGTGTATTTGCCTGCAATCAGGGACCCCCTATTGTCCCTCTTTTGTTTGTACTAATTGTTAAAAAAATATGTTTTGTACACTAATCTAAATTGGGGACCTTCGGGAATTGGGGACCCTATTGTCCTCTATTGTTCAACGTCCCCTATTGAATGCAGAAACAAACTCACATCCTCCAAAGGAATTCATCATCAGATGTTGTCATCCCAGACTCCGACTTAATTAGTTGTCTTAATTATCTGAAGGATTCTAGGCATCTGCACATTGTAATACCTTGAAGCTTTTGAGAGTCCTTGCCTACGGTGCCAAAATTGGCAATGTGGACATACATGTACATAACCAGACATCTACGTGTGCGTGTAATTCAACAACTGCGTCAGGACTATCTTATCACAAATACATGCACATCCAGCCCAGACTGACTCTAGACGCGAGAGATAATTGCAAGTGGAGAAATAATTCTCCCCCTAATAGACAGATAACTCCGGTCTGCCACTAGCGGCTGTCAGTCAAGAAGAAAGTACACACCAAATTGAATTGATTTTTTCATCCAAGCGGTAATGATGATACGTGCGCAATAATCGTCTCATGGTGTACAAATGAAATGGGCAGAGGAGACATTTCCCCTGAAACATGTGGTGTACTTTTCTCTAGCCAACAGAGTACATTAAACTGTGAGAATTTATGTTCATGAATGCAATAATTTTGCCGTCGAAGTTACTACTAGACTTTTTTTAAGACGGCGATTGTCCCTTTATAAAAGTAGAATTATTATGTTGAGAAAGGGATGGAATGGGCAATAAGAACTCACACCCAACCTACCGGTATCAATGCAATAATTCATGAAGCCCAAAGTGAAAAGAAAGAAAAAAAATTATGCACACTGAATAATTATAATCCATTTTTACTCACTTACTTTGACTGTGAGACGATCATTTTGTTTACAATAACACATTGATTCAATTTTCCTCCTTTTTTCAGATACTGAGTTAATGATATTTATGAAAGTTCAACTTGCAGAACAACATATTAAACAGTCACGAAACCAACCCTGGAAATGCATCCCATCAGATGTTTAAGAGTCTTATTACGTTTTGCACAAATCCACTAGGTCTATGAATTGTTTTACGGTTGTCTCCTTGTTCCTTTTATTATCCCCAACGTCATTTTGCTGATTTACATTTTGGGGCTGATTTTACTTTTTTCATTTTACAAAGTAAATTAATTTCCAGGAAAGACAAAATGGAAAACACTGCCCGCAGGAGTATGTCGTGTCTGCATCATAAATATATTCTTGAAATCCAATCGGTTGCCAGGTTACATTTGAGGATTTGCCAGCGAACAGAGCCGGTCTAACACAATGCGAAAAAAACAGACATGAACATAAGCAAGCAGTATGTAGCTTCATGTTTAGCAGGGGGAAAATATGACCAGCTCCATCTAGAATCAAAGTTGTTGAGCTACCGTAAGCAGTCTTAAGTTGCATAAACTGTTGTAGCATTTTGCACAGATGTCACAGATGTAATTCCTTCATTTGATTGCAGATTTATGGTGTGAAAATTAGTGGATGTCAATAAGGGACTTAAAATTTAACGTTGTACCATATTTTTGTGAATGCCATTTTTAGGTCCGATTTACTAACTACCGGTAGCTGTGTTTTTAAACACAGAGAATCCTCTTTAAAATGTCTACTTTTAGTTCTCTGTTGTTTTGGGAACGTTTGTTTCATAGACATTTTTGCGGTATTTGCAGAAATGGCTGAGCCATGCATACATGTATATCTTTTTCTATAATGAAAGAACTTCATTTAAAGTTATTCAGAACTTAAATTTTCAGACTTTCCGGAGTGCTACACTATAATGATTAGTATCCATATGTACCATGATTTTGATATTTTCATCTCCGTGTGTCTTTTGATTGGTCAGGATGGCAAATTACGAGAGACGTGTGTCATGGGATCTCCGGACACCCCCTTGGAAGATAAAACTCTGACCATCGTCCACGGCTCGGACATGGTCAACAACAACACGCTCAACTTCTGCTCCAACAGTGAGAAGCTCACACAGGTACGTAGGCACACTGCAGACTGCAGACCTAATCTTTAATATGTATATGAGGGTAGGTATAACATCCTCAAAGCTTCTGCCGTTGTCATGGTTATTATACACTTCGAAGATTCTGCCTGCCCCTTGGTACGCGGAATTTTTTTTTTTGGGTTGAGAATTTCTGGCGAGTGCTTATGCGCACTCGGAAAGGAAGCCTTACTGTTAAATTTTTTTTTCTTCAGAACCCATCATTCAGTTTAAAGGGAAAATACAACATTTGCAAACATCAAAAAATAAAACTACCAAATCATTTTGAAATACCTTGCTGGACTGTTACTCAATGATGGTGTAAAGCATCCTGAAAAATCATGGCACTTGGTATACTGTCATTTTCAAGAAAAGTGGTATTTTTGTATCAATTTCCAACGCTGATCGGCCGACCAGCGTTGGAAAAAAACTGGCTTTTTAAAAAAAACTGGCCCCAATTTACCATCGCACTTGTTTGCAATCGATTACACACCTATGAACGGGTGCAAGCCAGCTAGACTGGTTCCCTGACCTTACAATTCCCCAATGTACATGTATGTTAACTGCTCTGTTTCTTCTTAAATGGAGTCAGGGAACCAGACTACAGGAAAATGATTGTTTTTCTTGGTTTTTATAGCATTTTTGAACCAAAAAACTCAAAAAAGTAAGTGTAACTATATTTGCTATATATTTCCAACCCCCCCAATTCCATCCATTTCTGGAAATTACAGCAAAAGCAAATGATGTATATTCCCTTTAACTGAATAACCAACACAATTGATCAATCGAATACTTGAACAAGCTCGAAATGATCTCGGAAGCTGCGGTCAGTTGGTACATGGAGCGTTATGTAGCATGTGGAACACCCAATTTGTGTGCAGCACAGTGCCAGCCCAGATGTGAAATGAGTGCCCTCGATAGAAGTGTTTGCAGTGCAAACGTCTGGTTTTTGACTCCAGTGACCCAATTTTCCACGGCTGCAATAATTTGGTAGCTGGTCAGTGGAGACCTCTGAACCTGTCGTAATTCAGGGCCATGAACCCGAGACACCTGTTGTTGCGAGGTCCTACAGGACAAGGTGATTGATTGCCATAAAAGGCATGTGCTGACGTTTGTTACTAACCAACCAACTAATGGAGAGACATGATGGTGTTTCTTGAGCTGCTTTCTGCAGCTAAAAATATGTGCTTGCTTACATGAACTCCATTGACTATGATTTGTGTATTAGGAAGCATTTAAATGTTTAAATTGAGTTGACCCTTTATCGGAGGTCAAAAGGACAATGATGCACTACCTTTTTACACCGGCGAAGGGCAAAACCCAATTTAAAATTAACATGTTAGGAGGTCGTGGGTTCGAGTCCCACCCGAGTATAAGCTTGTTGTGAATATTTTCTCTGAAGCCCTCGGATAACACTGAGTATACAGTGTTTACGAAAATACATGTATGTCGGCGAAGGGCAAAACCCAATATAAAATTTACATCTTCCCGACTCAAATTCCATCTTGTAAGATGCACGAGCTGTTCTCAGACCATATTAGAGTGAGATTCATACAGTGTTCAGACTATAAGGCATGGACTGTGAATCCAAGGCAATTTATATCCTAGTCACTAGAGATATTATCTTATCCCGCAAGGAGCCATCCCTGGGATGTTATCAGCTCTTGACTTCTGTCAAGTGTACGTATCATGACGTGCGGGAGAAAAAGTGAAAGCATTGGTTTATCGGTAATTGAGGCAGAAACAAGAAATGGCCAACGGACAGTGGGACCTTTGCCATTTGTACATTTGTACAGCATTGGAAAATGTCCCTCCAAGTTGCTTTTTGACTCACTGCATTCGATACACATTCACTAGAATGAATGAAGGGTGAGTTACATTACACCAACCCCAATGTCAGATCTGTATTTCTCGTTTCAAGTCTGTCAGTTTATATCTTTTGTCTACTTTGAGAAAAAGAAGAAAGAATTTACAAATACAGACAGGGCACTGATTCACATTAACAGCTTGCAATGAGGTTTAAGTTTCTATTTCCAACTTTTATGATTTTATTGCATCATTACAAATCCCTGGTTTGAAAGCTAGTCTTTCTTGTGTTTTTAGTTTGACAAGATAATATTAGATACATACTTGCACACAAAATTTAGCACTGCATAATGTTTGATCTCATCAGTCTATTACCACCTGTACTACATTGTAAATATTACTGTGTGTTTATTCACTGATAAATCCATGAATATTCAGTTCCTTGGACAGTTTTTGGCACTACAGGGAATAATAGGCGGGACCTTGGTTTGGGACATTGGGACTGGTATTTTTTTTTCTTTCGAACTGGCAAGTGCAGGAAATATTTTGAATAGATAAAAAAAACACAGTCGGAATTATTTCTTTCACAACTGTATTCAGACTTTTCAGCTGTTTCATTAAGCCAAGTAAGAAAATACACCAAGTTCTCATTGCCGGCAAATTTTCCTGCCTGCCTCCTTTTTTTCCCCCCCCCTCCTTTTTGAGTGGTCGGGTACAACCCGACCACTCTTTGGAGTTGTTCCGATTAATCTTTCTTTTTTTCTTCTTTTTTTTTCGTACAGCACGTTTCCGCAGTTTTTTTTCCTAAACGGTTTATGATAGGAACTTGTAACTTTCAATATATATCGACCCTCATCCTAAGTGAGGTTGTAGACAATGCCGTGAGAAATATTTTGTGTTGCCGGACACAAAACCGCTTGACCTTTACTTCCGGTGTTACCTGAAGTGCAAAAAAAACTGAATATACATGTAACTCAAAAGCGGAAGCATTTTACTACAGACATATATTATGAAAGTGTTTAGTGAGGAAAGCCAGACACTAAAAACAGTGTGATGACGTCTTCATTCGAAAGGGCGCCCCCTAGCGACACATAAAATAGTGTTTCTTTTCTTTAATTTTAAAACCATAGATTTAAATTTTACCAAATCGCCCCTTGATATTCTTTGATTAACCACAGATAACTTGGCAAGGCTTCAAATTCATGACGTCATCAGACCGGAAGTTACTTCTATGAGAATTTGCCAACGATCATATTGTAAAAATTTAATTTTATCATTTGATCCATTTCATATATCTTATCCCAAATAACAATACCATTACAATGTTCACCTTTTGCTTCCAAATACTGTGACGTCATCAAACCGGAAGTTTGGTGTTATGAATACATACACTTATATTTTCCAAATGTTCATCCGTTCAATAACTTCCCAATGAACATCCACTCCGAACTAAATCAGTATTCACTTCCCGTTTTTGACTATTAAATGACGTTATCAAGCCAGAAATAACTTGTATGTGATGTACATTGAATGTTTACTGAAATTTATCAAAGCGTTCAAGATGTATTTTTTAAACAAAATAATTGATTGTCCTGAAAAGGATTTAATTTCGTGATCCTTTGTTCTTACATAAAAATATTCATTACTTAACTGGACAGTGTTCATAAAATAGTTGTCTACCCAACCGCTCTGCGTTTGTAACAACAAACGCGAATCTCTATTTTTTTTTTTAATTCATACATTTGCAATATATTGCAAATTTTGTCAATATATTGTCTTTCTACTAGCTTCCAACAAAATTGTAGCTATGTAGAAAGAGTGCATAACGGCTCCTTTGGACACCATTTTCAGGGTTCGACCTTAACTTTTTTTTCACTAGCCAGCCAGGCCACTGAAACAGACTCTTAGCTAGTCCGTGGGCATATCCTCTAGCCTGCATGTTTTTCTTTCAGTGTCTCATAAACAACAATGTGCATAAAGTATCCTGAGGCAATCTTGTCAGTGTTTTTAAAAAACAGATCTAATAATTTAACCCCCTATAAACAGTTATTAGACACAAATTGATAACAGGTTTGCTTTCTGAATTTAATGATTAATTTCTTCCTGTCCTTTCATCTTTGCCGTATCTTAATAATTTTTGACTCGCCGGCCGGGCTATTTAAGGAATAGTTTGACTTGTCTGCAACTGTAGCATTTGGGCTACCACTAAAGTCAAAAACTGATTAATACAAAAGAGTCAAGAAAATGGAGGAGTCTATCCGCCTTCTTGGAAAGTCCACTATCTTGGGGGAAATAGGGGGTGCCTCCTTACGTTTTTTTTAGAAAAGCTCGGATGAGAAACCAAATTTGTTTTTACATGGCCTTAGTACAGGTATATGTCGTCGCAGCGTTAGGAAAGACCATGCAGTTGAGTACAGTTTTAAGGTTTCACTTTTGGATGGCAAGTCAGTCATTGACGTGCCTCTTGACATTTTGTTCAATTACTAGTTTACGTCAAATTGATTACTCTTCAAATAATTAACCATTTCCCAACTTGTGTTGCAAACGAAAATGAAACAGAAATTCAGTACGTGTACTCGATAGAAACGAAGTAGTGTGTTCATGTGTGCAATCAGCTGATATGTATGTTTGTCATTGGTCTGAACAACATATCATTAGCACTTAAATAACGCTCCAGGGTTCAGACTTCCATTAAGATTACAAGAAAATATTTTCAGGGCAATAAATTTTGACTTTGCCCTACTCATGAGAGCCATTAGAGGCGGGATGTACCTGTACTGCCTGTGCGTGCACTGTTTCACGCTAATGAATGAAGCAAAGTGCACTGATCAATTTCCAGCTGAATGTACAACATGTCCATGAACCCAAAGCATGTTCACAAGAAATGCACCTATACAAACTCAGGTCCATGATTGAAATGGCTGTGTTTTAATCTGTCCGTTACAGATATTTATGTGTAACTTTTTTGTAGCTGATGAGGGAGGGTCCTTTATAATGAATTGATTTCTTATGTGATTCTCTCTTGAAAATTTGGATTGATGTGTATGTACATTGTATTGCATGTAATTGCGTAGATTGTGTGCTTTCCAGCTAAAAAAAACCCGTAATTTTCCATCTGTGTTACATGCAATCCATGTTTCTACCTGTACATGTGCAGGCCTGCCAACTCGCACGCATTGAGCGTGAGA